GATATAGCGACGGGCTAGGGGCCGGACGACCGGGGTTCGATTCAAGGGAGGGACAAGAGATTTTTCCCTACCCCACAACGTTAAGACCAGCTATGGAACCCACCCATTCTATCGCATGGGTATCGGCAGCTGTTATACCGAAGGTAAGGTGGCCGGGGCGTGAAACTAACCATTCACCTCGATCTAATGCCAAGGCAAAGAATATTGGAGCTATACCTCCACTCCCCCATACGTCTTTATGGCGTGATGCTTAATTAATTAAGTACAGGGAAAACTACCTTTTACCTGTTTTACTTATACGTTATCTTCCCATCTGCGCCTAACTAGCATACTGAATTTCACAAAAATGTAATTATTATTATTATTATTAATATTTTCTAATATATATGAAAAAGCTGATTTATGACTTTGTGTGAACTAGGCTTTTTAATCCTGTCTCTCTTATTGAATACAACAAAAATTTGTTTAACAGCATACGATTATAGGCCTATCGGCACATAAAGAACTTAATTTATGACGTTACGTAAAGCACACTTTGTAATCAGTCTTTATGACTAAAAACAGAAAAGGCGGCCGAGAAACTCCTTTCATACTTCTGTCATATTAGATAATATCGAAGTTTCATTAACGGTACATCTTAGACCCACATTCGAGAAAGTTCATTTGAGGCCTTCGGTTTTGTTGTGGATGAATATGGCTGAAAATCGTAAATGCCCGACAGCCTTACGGAAATACTTCCATATCGAACTACGTATAATAAAATCTCTCCAACGGCTTAGGCACTGATGTATTTTTTAGTGCTAGTGGGGAGGGACTAAGTCCCTTGTACTGCGGCCACTTCTGGCCTATTGTACCAGCCCCAGATGATAGGTGAGGGTGATTGTGGAGCAATTGGTGGAATGAAGATTGGCAGGGGAAACCGAAGTATTCGGAGAAAACCTGCCCCAGCGCCACTTTGTCCACCACAAATCCAACTTGACCAGACCTGGGATCGAACCTGGGCCGCCGCGGTGGGAAGCTAGAGACTAACCGCTTGAGCTATGGCGCGGCCTAAGCACTTATGTAAGTCACAGACAGACGGATAGATATGACTTTGACCTAAGGCGTTCTTTTTTTTTAACTTGAAAAGAACTCCTAAATAAGAGGAAGAAAACGATCAAACAAAGGATATATTGGCTATTACTTGTACTGAACTACGAGAAGGTTGTGGCCAGAACTGCACATATCCTTACAGCAAATCTGAGAACGCGTGTCTTGTAACAGTTTTCCTGTAACTGAAACATCGACTCAGCAGTGTCAACCGGACGCTATACACGGCTTTATCATACATAATTATGTAAGACATGCTGCGCTGTTATTTGCTGTTAAAACGACGCGGCACAGCGTTGGCGTTTTTATTTATAACGCGTAACATCAAGAAGGAAAGAAAGAAAAAATAGATAACAGGAAGGATGGAAGAAAGGAACAAACAGCGAATGGAGAAAAATTATAAAGGCGGGAAAACAGAAAGGAAGTCTCATTTCAGTAAGTAAGTAAAGCTATCCCTGTAACAGGCCGTGAAGGCCCATAGGGTTGAGAGACGTTGAGGGTCCCACATTATCTAGACAACTGGCTCAAAGATGGCGGTAAGGTTGTCAGCATTACGCGCCGGCCGCGCTTTACTACCCAGGAAATTATTTAATTAATTCCTGGTACTCATTTCTGTTAGAGGCTGAGTTGACACCAGGGCCATAGTGCGGCTGGAAGGATTAAGTCAACTGAAAAAATCCAATGACCTCATCGGGACTTGAACCCGCGACCTTCCGGCTTGTAGCATAATGCCTCAACCAACTACGCTCTCATTTCAGTGGACGCTAAAATATTGTGTAGCTTATAAAGGGATTTTTTTATCGACTCCTACTTTGGACAAGCCGCCTTAAAATACGACATAAGAATTATAAATGGTAAGCCCTGTAATGCGTTCATGTCGTGTAGGGTGATACGATGTATTGTGGAGTTCGTGTAAGATACGTGATCTGTCAAAATTGAAAGACGCATGAAGAATGCATAACGAAGTATTATACAGTGGCTTTCATTAAGGATGAATGATGGGTGAAATACACAAGATGCAGAAAACACGGCATAACAGAGGTCACTGTGTGCCTCAACGAGTTTCTGTGTGCGGAATCCTCGTCATATCCGGTATTAACGACTAGGGGAAGGAAGAGGGGTGAATGGAACGGAATTTAGCCTGTACATCTGTTCATCAGTAATTTATTTAAAATGTCATTTCACGATTGCCGATCCCAGTTGCCTCGAGACATGCACGAACAATCTCAGGCGGCTCGAATATTGAGAGAGAGGGTGTCGTACACCTCTGTACACAATTTCCAATAGTACATATTCCAACTGCAGAAAATATTCCAGGTATTCCTATAAGATGGAAATTCTTTTTACAGCCATCGTGTTTATAACCCATCACAATTTTTATTACAGAAAAAAAATCGTGCAGAATTTGTGTTTACGTTTATGATCTCCATACACAATTCCACATGTGTAGTTCTTCACGGTACATTACCTGTGGTCATACCGAAAGCTAAATAGACTTCACGCAACAGCCATATGTTTCTAAAGGGTTCTGACGATGGTGCATAACACTCAGAATTACTGCGTTTTCGGACTTTGTCAATCGTCCGGTGTTCTAAAAACCAAAAAAACACAAATTTTCGGAAACAAATCTGGTTTCCGAAACGTCGTGTTTTCTACTTTCTTGAATACCGGACTATGAACATAGTCCGAAAACCGAGTAATTCTGAGCCTTGTGTTTGTTTTGGGTTAAAAAACACTATATAAACGGAAGTTATATAATTTTCCAAGATAAATCTGAATACAAAGTTCGTAATAAATCGCATGTAAACCTACAAATTAGGTTCGAAAGGAAGAACAAATACGCACACATACATACACGGAGAAGGCAATTCTCTTGCGTCACAATACAAGGAAAGTACACTAAAAATGGGGGGGTCTTGAAAGTGGCAAGAAGCCGAACAGGACTGTTAGAGAACATGTCGAGACCGAAGCATTAAACGTCCGAAAATAAAACGGAATAACAGCGTGGAGATCAGAAAAAAAATTTCAATTGGAACAAGAAGTTAATGCATCATCATTAAATAATCTATGAACCATATATTTGAAACCACTGTAAGGGAATTCACTTTATTATCTTCGAAGGAGAATTTGTTTTAGCGTTAAATTAAACAGATCCATGTATTCTGTCTGTCTGTCCTCATACGATAAGCAGCCTTGCGCATAATTGGCCCTGACGATGCACATCACAGAATATAGCGAAACCTTGGCAGATGGCATGGGGCGGGGCGAGGCGGGGCAGATATGCCTGAATGGGTCGGCAGCATTATATCAAATCCTGTCACAATATTCATATTTCCTGCCATTTTGTCCATCTCTTACCCCACTTTGTCGGTAATTTAACCATGTCATCTTTGATCCTATCGTATTAATTGCATAACGCATGCCACGATATTTAAACCAGCTTAACTAAATTATAACCAAATTTCAATCTCTGAAACCAATCTCTTAATTATTTAATGGCTTGTGTCTGCGTTCTAATGCATTATGTCAGTATTTTGAATCATCATGTTTGATATTTGATCAGATTTGACCATATCTTAATCCATGGTGTCGATAATTCAACCCATCGCGTAGCTAGGTCTGTGAACTCCCATTTTTTTAAATTCATTAAGTTTATCATTGTATGCCTACGACTTGTGTCAATGTTTTGGCTGAACTGTCTTCGCCCACTGAAACACTGGGGATCGTGGGTTCGAATCCCACTTGAGGCATGGATGTATGTGTGCGTTTATTCTGTTTGTGCTGTCCTGTGTGCGGGTAGAGGCTTACGACGGGCTGATCCCCCGTCCAAATAGTCCTATTGGCTGAAACTGAAAAGCGGCCAAGGGACAACAAAGGGCTGTAGAGCCATCGATAGATACCACCAATGGTCAAATCTTCGTATTTTGAACCACTCCAGTAGCCCTGCTGTCGTATCAATTTTCTATAAATTTTGTCTATTTATTGTTTAAACTTTACGGAATGTGTGTGTCCCCAGATGGTCTCTTGAGTGTTTATTTAACTGATCCTCAAATAAATTGCGTATCTTCTGTCAGCACTCTTATCTGAAGGTTGCGTTTTAGTTAACTGACATGAGCAGTGGTTAGGTTTATCCCACTGCTTTCATATACGAAACAGCAACAAATTCAAATCGTGGTACATTAATCTCCTGCATCCACACAATATTTTGTGTCACACTCAGGTGATTTATCTCGTGGCAGGTGCTACAACGTGCCAGGTCAGGAGCTAGGTGAAAATACGACAGCCAGCCATTAAAGTTTCTATCATTTTTGCAGGAAGTTGGCCTGTGTATAAACTGAACGCATAATGTGGAGGACTTTCACGTGAATAAGGCCGCACCAGATGTACACATGCTAAGACAGTGTAACCAAACAAACTACCGTACTTTCTCCATCAACAACATTGTTTGTCTCCTTCAGTTTCAAGCAATAGGTCCTCAGTAGCTGAGAATCGGATCCATGTTGGTACAATATTTTTCACTGAAAAGAACCAAGTTAATAACTTCCAGAAGAAACACATAAGAATAATATGCAAAAGGTAAAAAGGTAAAGCTATCTCTTTAGCAGGCCATGGAGACCCATAGGTTTGTGAGACGTCGAGGCTCCCACATTTTCTAGACAATCGGCTCACAGATAGCGGTGAGGTTGTCAGCCTTATGCGCCGGCCGCCCTTTACCCCCCAGGAAGATTCCTGGTACTCATTTCTGTCAGGAGCTAAGTCAACCCAACGGCCATAGTGCGACTGGAAGGATTAGGTCAATTGAAAAATCCAATGACCTCATCGGGATTCGTTCCCGCGACCTTCCGGCTTGTAGTATAGTGCCCCTTTATCTTCTTATAATATTCCAAACTTGAATGAATCCTTAATATATCGCCTGTATTTGCAGTTTCTTTCGCGCTGTTACATACGGCCTCGTTGTTATCCGGACACTATAGTTTCTGACAGGTGATCATCCAACCATGAATCCAGGAGGAGGGAATTGAAACAACACACACAAACAAAAAAAGAACTCGAACCCGTCTCTCTTACGTCCGCCGTCAACAACCGCTCTACCGAAACATTCCTGCGTGACTCCAGTTCAAAATGTACGGTAGTCAGCAAATAGCTTGCCAGTCACTGCTAGAGCCGTGTAGCGGAGAGATCGTGTAGTGTGCAGAGAAAAGCCGCAATGGTGCGCTGAGGAGAGGTACAACTAGTGCAAACAAGGCAAGACGATACATTAATTGTGTTTCTAATGTACTGGCCGTGTGTACACATTTCTTGTGATTTAAAGTGGCAATATTGCAAACAAGAAGACTTGCAGAACGAAATGCCTTACTAGCGAATGGCCATGTGATCTATGGATAGATACATTACCTCCTGGATCAACTGTGAGCAAATGCGTTGCTAAGGTGCTGGTCATCTGCAAACATTGTCGTGTCTATGCTTTTGTGTGATTTCAAAGTCGGAAAGTTCACATTGAAACAAGGTAGGCTATAGGAACTGTTCGAGCAACGTACCGATACTTACTTACTTACTCATGGAGCTGAGCCCTTCTTGAGGAGCCGCCAATTCTGCAGCTACTCAATTTCCTAGCATTTTATGGAACCGAAGGTTCATCACCGTGTTCACAAAAGCCCTCCACTGGTCTCTATCCTGAGCCAGATCTATCAAATCCATACCATCCCATCCTATCTCTCTAAGATCCATTCTAATATTGTCCACCCACCTACGCCTTGGTCTTCCCTGCGGTCTCTTTCCTTCTGGCTTTCCCACCAATATCCTATACGCATTCCTTGTCTCCCCCATTCGAGCTACATGACCTGCCCACCTCATCCTCCTTGACTTGGTCATTCTAATTATACTTGGAGAAGAGTATATGTTATGAAGCTCCTCATTATGCAGTTTTCTCCAACCTCCTGTGACTTCATCTCTTTTCGGTCCAAATATTCTCCTCAACATCCTGTTCTCAAACACCCTCACTCTATAGTAACATATATTGGACTTGGATGTGGCTCCGGATTTGTGTTAATCAAGAAAACATAATCGAGGGAACAAGGGAGGCCAGGAAATCAAATGAGTTATTAAGGTTCCCGCCATATGAAGACACTGTTGCGGCTTTGGTTTGTGTGTTCAAGAAACGACAGTTCTTGGAATTATTCCATTGAAAGGAGGCTAGTGATTAAAGGTAATTCTTTAATAACGTTGCGACAACATGACATAAACAAGAGAGGCTAGTAAAAGAAAATAGTAGAGCATTAATATTTATATACTTCGAATAGCCCTTGTATAAAAGATTATTTTAATCAGAAACTGCTTATATTTTCGGGTGCTGTAAATTAATATGTAGAGAAGGGTTTCAGTCAACTTTTTTTTTTTCCTTTGGCGCTACAGCCCAAATTTTGCCCTTGGCCTACCTCCACGAAACTTTCCGTTTCACTTCAGTTTACTAGATCTTAGTCATTTGGTAAGACTCCTTTGGCGGGTGATCAGCTCGTCATAAGGCCTCTACTTGTACACAAACACATAAAAACTCACACAAACACTAAACATCCATGCCCTGAGTGGGATTCGAGCCCACGATCCCGGTTTCCGAGTGAGCGAAGACAGTGCATGCCTTAGACTGTTCTGCTACCGTTGCCGTCTTTCAGTTAACTACAAGTATAAAAATTTATATGAGATGAGAGATTGTATTTGGGTAAGCTTCGTGATCTCCCTCAGCAAGCATTACGTTCTTATAAATTTCAGACGATAGGCCCTACCGCTTTGTATTGCAGCTGAAAATATTTTTCTTCGTATTTTCCAGACTCAGCTAGTTCAAAGACCACGAATAAAGGTGAAACTACAATATCAGTTCATGTTTAATTAAGTTCGTGTGTTGGAAACGATGCTGTAACCAAATACCGTTACAAGATAGATTGTAGTGGTCAGGACGTTTAACTTCCTGAGGCTGATTCCGACCGCTGAAGATGACCTACTCGTAGGCTTACTTACATGCAGTAGTGAGAAGGTTCGTTGTGAAGCAACGGGCAGTCTCCTGAAATGTTACTATCGTGCGACACTCGCATATACAGCTACAAGATTAAACAGCATTTGGAACATCTTCAGAAGGGGACAACACAGTGTTTTTCTAAGTGAGACTGAATGTGCCATTTCAATTGAAAATTCTAAGTGTTTAACATAGTGAGATAAACATTCATACATCATTCAGACAGTGTTGTTTATCTTGAGATCAGTATTACGCGAACAGTAATAAAATGATGTTAAAATATGAAATAAAATTTGTTGGCTGTACAGTTGATATAGTGCTTGGAGATCAAATATTGAGGTTCTAACACTGGAATGCAGCCAGCGCTCACAAGAGTATCTGCGTGTACCAAGAGAACGGCTACGACGAAACGCGATTCTATGCAAGTAAGTGTTAAAAATAATTGTCAGAGCAGAACGATTAATCATATATTATTTAACAAATCTATTTTATATTTGGATCTAACAAAGAAGCGGCAGAAGAGGTGGCAAAAAATTAATCTTCACGGTGTACACTGTCTAATATATTGGGGTGATTAAAACAGGAAGACTGAGATGGACGGGATATGTAGTAAGCATGCAGATGTGACAGAAGATTAAACTTTCCTAAAATCTCAAGTGGTGTGATGTAATGAGAGACCTAAGCGTAGATGGGAGGATAATATTAAACGTATTATAGATCAGTATTATATTCTATTTTAGCATCTCATTACATTGAGGCGTTGTTCTTATTATTAAAGTACCCGTCAATAATGCAACAATATAAAAGACATCTAAAATATGTTTCTCACTAGAAATGTAACTTTAATACTTTATGATGTTGTTAAAATCATTAAAATGTCCTTAGGGTACCAAAAGTATAACTTATATACATTAAAAGTGGTTATGAAATTACTAAAATGTGTCTAGTTTTACATATGCTTTTTCAGTTTACAACATGTTTCGGTCGCACATATTCTAGATGTCTTTTAAATTGTTGCATTATTGACGGGTACTTTAATGATAAAAATATTCAGTATTATTGATCAGTGTTTCTCAACCGCCGGGCCGCAGCCCGGTACCGGTCTCTGGCATCAGTTGTACCGGGCCCTCGTCTTATAAAAAAAATACTGCGTTGCGGTTTGACAAAGGTTGAGAACCACTGTTACAGATAACCAAGTTCTGAAGGAAGAGGTTGGATTGAATTGCCTCACGATAGGGTCTAATGATGGGCGTGTTTAAACACGGAGGTGAACACTCGTGTTCCATAAAAGAAGTGAATTTGTTTTAAGAAACATGCCACACTGTATAGTGAGACTTAAGTACAGGTGTGAGGCATACACGGGGCCCAATCACAAGGAAAATGATAATGAAAGCTGCGCGGGTGTGAATCTAGAAGGAAGAAGTCATGGGCTCTTTGAAGGTACTGCCCAAAAATTCGCAAGGACAGAGTAGGAAAATAATCGGAACAGGAGGTTTCTATCCGAGATTCAAACACAGTACCTCCCGAATACACTAACCTGAAGAGAGTAAATGTACGCATTGCATGTAAGACAGGTAAAGTGTGCTCAAAATCGCGTTATACACATGCTCGTATTAATTGGACACAGAATGGACAACCATTGTTGTGTTCTCCGTAGGGGCACTGGGATGGATTTCTTCAGCACTAATGTGCCCAGACTGCGGCACATCCAGCCTTATATTCAGTGGATACCGGAAGGAGGGGGGGAGGGGGGTGGTGTTCTTTCCCCGGAAGTCAAACAGCCGAAGCGTGAAACCTACTACGTACTTCCGTCTAGTACCGTACTGAAGAATGCATGGCTTTACGCCTTCGTGGTGTACTGGTTATACACAAGGGTAACATAAATTTGGTATTAATTCGTAATTCTTTGTTTTCAGGCCTCATATTACACATAACTGTGCATGTTACATAGTCCACGCATCTAATTCTTCTGAATTGTAATAACATCTAAGATGAAGGGTACAAAATGAAAAACAATCATTTAGAAAAATTGTGTCGTCGCCTTTTAAAATTTTCAAAGACGATACATTTGAAGGGAAAATATCATTTCCCTTCTCACCTCAATATTTAAGTTTGCTTCCGAATCATATTATGACATGTTTGTATCCAAAAATGTAACCCTTGGAATTCTAAAAACGAAGCAGACCTGTCAACTAGAAACACTGCTTTCTGACTTGAACTCATTTATTTAAAAGTGTATTTTAAATTACATCTCTACTATCACCACTACAGATTATCAACCAAATTATTCGTGGTTTCCATCCACAACAGCGATCCTTGCGTTATCATGGAAATACAAGCCATTAATAATTGCCATGTATAAAGAAACATGATGGACGTGTATCAGACATCCATAATCATTTTAGACGTAGTTCACGGATTGTCATTACATTAGACCTGAGTCTGAGGCCATTAGAGATGATCAAACAGTTGCGCTTTTTATTTATGATTTCCTAGCATCCACAAAACGAATACGACTTCAAAGTTCTGAGGCTAAAACTAGCGTCACTAAAAATAAGAGGCCCGAAATTATGTACAACAAGAGACCATCGAAGAAAATAGGAAGCAAGTTTTGTTTCAGAATGTAAAATAACAAAATGGAGGCTGCAGGAAATGTAAATTTAACTTTCGATTTAATGATGGTAACAAATAAGTCATAGCATGTGAATTCCTATATCCACACCTATAATAAATATACATACAAATTCTCTACGGAACACATGTTCATGTATTATAATTTCAAACACGTTGACGGTGCAAAATTTTGAGGTTATGCTGGCGATTGTGGTCATCTGGGTTTTGACATCATGCAGACTCGCACTTAGTCTTCTGGGTTATGACATGTCATCTTGTAGTTTTCTGGGCTGACACCATGCAGTTTCGTAGTCTTTCTCGTTATGACGCAGTGTTTCGCAATCTTCTGGGTTGACACCAGGTGGTCTTGCAGTATTCTGAGTTATGACAACGTGATCTAGTAGTCTTCTGGGTTATGACACAATGTGGTCTCGTATTCTTCTGGGTTATGACAATATAGAGCCTCGCAGTCTTCTGGGTTATGGCACAATGTAATCTCATATTCTTCTGTGTTATGACACACCATGTAATCTCTTAGTCTTCTGCGTTGCGGTACCTTGTAGTCTTGTTGATGGCTACCAAAGTTAGGGAGGAACCTGCTGCTACCCTCATTCATCCAGGGCAGGCACAAGCCCAAACGCTGCTCCATGCGGAGGAAATTACACACGACTCCCTCCCCCCAAATTAAAATAGATAAATTTTCACAAAACTTCGTGACAGTTAATAACATGGAATTTCCAGAGACTGTAACGAGAACCGTCATTAATGTCTTAATTCTTAAAATGTCTTTATTTACATTTATACATAGTATATATAGACTGTTGACAATCAGCGGTAGCGATATGAACGGAAGGGTGGCAGAAATGAACTTTCATTTAACAGAAAGAGAAAAAAGAGAGTGAAAACAGGATTTGCAAAATGTTCTGCCTCGGCGTCCACTTGGCCCCCTTGTGCTGCCAGCCCTGGAGATGAGTTCCCAAAAACGTTGATAACCACCCACGAAACTATGCATTTTATAACTAGGAGACCAGGTATCTGTCGAGTTTGTGAACAGAATTGGCTTATAATCATCATCTTCATCATCATCATCATCATCATCATCACTGGCACGACAGCCCTTTGTGAGCCCTGGCCTTCCTCAGGATTGCTCGCCATTCTTCTCCATTCGATGCTACATTCCTCCAGTTCTTTATAGCAAAAATTCTTATGCATTACCACACACATTCTTCCCGTCTTAGTCTTGGTCTTCCCACTCTCCTATTTCCTTCTGGTTCAGTATTAAGCATTTTCTTAATCGCTCTATTCTCGCTGGCACGTATTATGTGTCCAGCCCATTCAAGCCTTTTCACCTTTATATATCCAATAATGTCTGGTTCATTAAATATTTTGTATAGCTCATGGAATTGGCTCATAAACTGTATAATTATTGTAAGATTCGGGGTTTTCACGGCAGGGACTATGAAGATTGCCGTCTTCTATGATGTGACAGAGTGTAGATCTTGTGTGAACCGACGTTCCTCCGAAACGTTGGTTCACACAAAATCTACACTGCGCCACATCCCAGAAGGCATTCTTTGTATAATTATTTATTTATAAACCGTGTAGCCGCGGCAAATAGAGTGAAACACTCGAGTAAAGTAAATATAATAAATTAGTCATAGAACTGTTTCATTTTAAAGATCTGTTTGGAAAAGACTCAACACTAATATCCGTGTAGAAGGACCCATAAATGTAACAGTTTTGTAACTGTCGGCCTCTATGTATCGTTGGTTCACTAACACTCCGCTACTGTTCTTCAGCGCACATATCTCCCACCGTGTTGTTAATTACTGTACTGTATGGTTTGGTTCGTAACCACGGTGATGATTTCCCCATACTTAAAGCACTACAGCAATGACGGAAGAAAGTGTGTCCGTTAGAGTGACTCCCCATTTCGAAACTCTGTTCGGAGATTGGCTGTTGCTGTTAACTGACATTCATCGCACATCTCCACAGTCCTTCCGGTACCTTACTTCCTGTCCTTTTCCACATTTCTTCCGGACACACCTACCCACCTACCACTTTGTTATTTTACGCCCTACGAAACAAAAAGTACCTCAGCAAAAGTTGCACATTTTCAAAGATCTTCAATCATCCACCAAACCTGCCTGATTCTTAATAGTCTGTAGTCTGAAAAGCTGCACCAAGAAAATTAGAGGAAACCTTTCAGTCTTCCTCCATATTACCCTTTCTCCCCTACCGAAAGTCGCTGTTGAGTGGTTTCTCACTCTCGCTTCGTATGTAGAAAGGCCAGGGTTCAAAACTCAACCTATCCAGACAGGTTTCATGTTTCAGTTTTTCGGAGTCCCTGTGCGAATACTGGGCAAACTTTAAAGCAGGCGATTTCCCCTTTCACATCCTTCCAAATTCGTCATTCATAATATTCTATCATGAAACAGACGCTGTTGAGAAAGAATCACTAAATAAACTTTTATAGCAATAAATTAAAAATCTAATTTTCCTGCTCTTCAGCCTTTGCATACACATGTACGAAGTGTAAACACCTTGTTCATGACGTGCATTTTATGGTTCCAAAGATTACAGCTTGTAGACTCTAACGCTATTGCAATAAAAGTAGGGTTGTCTGCAGAGTCAACGAAAGTGAAATGTAGTGGGGAGATAATAGAGAGGAACTCGAGACAAAAGTGCATTATGAGATGAGAACTAACTGAATAAAACGTCAAGAACAGCACACACAAGTGGGGAGAAGCAGACAGTGCAGGAACTGCACAGTACCTATACAACAAAAGCTGCAATTATTCAGAAGCAATGG